CTAAAACATATCACTCTGACGCTTTGCGCTATGTTCGGCTATCTTCTTCAGATTTGTTAAAACGGGTTCATCAACGATTTGGAGCCTGGAGTTATCAGCAGACGATTGGAGATCTATTTTTAGAACCGGTACGTACTGAGTAACATGTAGACATTGCACTTGCCAAGGCAAGATTGCCTTTGCTTTGGTATAGAGCAGTTCGATTACATTGTTGACAAACACGATCGTTCATTAACTGTACACACATATGCCAACACACATCATCAACCGTAGACAATCAATTGTACACATACATACACGCACATCATCAACGGTACACATACATACACACACATCATCAACTGTGCACACATCAACTGTACACATACATATACACGCATCGTCAACTGTACACACATCAACTGTACACATACATACACACACATCATCAACTGTACACACATCAACTGTACAAATACATATACACACATCGTCGACTGTACACACATCAACTGTACACATACATACGCACACATCATCAACTGTAGACAACCAACTGTACACATACATGCACACACATCATCAACTGTACACACATCAACTGTACACAAACACTCACATATAGCAACTTTCGATACTATGTGAGTACTCACTTGTGCAGGCGTGCCGTATCGCTAGCTTTTCGTCCGGCACTGACGCATCAACCATCCTGACTTCAACTGTAACGGGTGCTGCATGGTCTGGTGCACTACAAGCCCACCATACGACTTCTTTGGGTTTGTGTGTTTCTGGAGAGACATGTACAACCTAGCTGTAACATGCTGCAGTAGGACTAAGCACACACAAAGTCAAAGTTGTACGACCGTTTAGTGAAGTAATTGCTACGCACGCACATCCTCCTGCAGTTCAACGGCCCAAACTTTGACATGTATACAGAATACGTCAACAACTTCGATGACTCCACAGATCGACTTCACAAACTGCGGACCTACCCCTCGAGTAACAATCATATGGCCAGGTATGAGTGCATTGACTGTATATGTAGGTTGGCTATAGTAGTTGATAACAACAATCCCATGGCCAAGTATGAGTGCATTGACTATATATGTAGGTTGGCTATAGTAGTTGATAACAACAATCCCAGGGCCAGGTATGAGTGCATTGACTGTATATGTAGGTTGGCTATAGTATTATCTGCAGTTGGGTGGTTTCAGTTGTGCAATTGAATTTATGTATTTGATTTATGTGTTGGATGTATTGAATTTGTGTATGTATTGAACTTTCGTATTGAATTTACGTATTGGAACTCTGTATTGGATTTATGGGTTAATTTAATATTTGGAGTTTATGTATTGCGTTTGCGATGGCTATGCAAGGCCTTCACAACACATACGTTTGGAATTGGTTGTACCAACGTCTGAATGTAGTAAGATGTGCCAATTCTCATAACGTCTTGGGCAAAACGTTCCACTCCAAACAGTTTCTTGGAAGAGAGGAGGACGATACACAAAACAAAAGACGATTTATCGGATATGCTCATCTCCCCAGTACAGCGCATACCTCGTTATGTTCTATTATTAGAACAGGTTCTAAAGTACACCCCCTCAGGACACCCCGATCACGAGTACCTACACAAAGGTGAGACAAACCACTACATTTTAACATAGTCGCGTATTTAGAGGCGACCTATGAGTCGTATTGTTTATCATTTATAGTCTCTATGCATGCTAATTAAACATGTTTGACATATGCTAACTAAATATGCTTCATATATGCTAATTAAACATACTTGATACGTGTTATTTAGGTTTTTTTTAATTTGCTCGATATATGCTAGTTAATCATGTTTGTTGTATACTAGCCAAGCGTGCTTGTTATATGCTAGTCAACGATGCTACTTAAAAACGCATAGGGACAGAGCAGTGCATAATAACAATGTTTAGTCACCTCCACATGCAGCAATCGCCTTAATACACCCCACAGTATAACAATCTCTCCCAGGAGTACCAACTCATCGACCCTTCCCTTCATCAACAACTGACCTTCAGATTGCTTGAATACACGCTCCAATCGCTATGCGTGTACTGTCCGCTCTACAGCCATACGAAGAGAAGATGTGTCAGGCACACAGAAAGCGCTAGATATCACAACCAGATACAAGAATGGTCAAACGTGAACACAGGAAGAGATAGAACTCAGACACGCAGAAAGCGCCAGATATCACAACCAGATACAAGAATGGTCAAACGCGAACACAGGAAGAGATAGAACTCAGACACGCAGAAAGCGCCAGATATCACATCCAGATACAAGAATGGTCAAACGTGAACACAATAAGAGATAGAACTCGGACACGCAGAAAGCGCCAGATATCACAACCAGATACAAGAATGGTCACACGTGAGCACAGGAAGAGATAGAAATCACAACCAAATACAAGAATGGTCGCACGTGAACACAGGAAGAGATAGAAATTAGGCACGCAAAAAGAGGCGGTGTGAGAAGGACTTAGTAGGGCCTAGTTTGTAGAGTCATAGCACGTGATGGTGTGTGATACCCCTAGCCTTGCGTAATCACCACCTACAACCCAGAAGTCGGTTGCTCAACTATTGCACACTGTGACTAACTTTCACTTCAGCGTTGGACTATTTGAGAGGCGTGGCCGTGGCCGTCAACAAACGCAAAAACGCGCAGAAACTGGCGGAGGAGTTGGATGACCTGATAGTGGGCTCGCCTGCGGTGAGTGTTTGTGTTGGGTTTCTTTCTAGTGCACCGCTGAGCGTACTGAGGAGATTTGTGTCAGTTCTACTGTGTATGGTATATATTGCCGATAGTGTATGGCCCCTGGCACTTGAACCACTACCGTAATCTGTGACCTTTCGTACTTTGACATATTTCATTCACCTGAAGACACTTACACAACTGTTGGCATCAGTGTGTGCGATGGACGTACCATAGAAGCATTAATAGTACATTCAGGTCTATGGTACATCTATGATACACATCTATGGTACATCTATGGACGTACCATAGAAGCAGCACAGACTGTGAGTGCGCATTAGAAGTTATAAGGTTAGGCTTGATAGATCAGTGTGTGTACCAGGATGCCGTACAGACGATCGACTAAAAACGTACATTCGCATTTGTATTGCCTATCCACAGTCTCTGCGAAGTCCTGGCCGCACTCTGGTGGGGCAGTACATGACACAGGAGGTGCAAATGACCATGGCTCGAGGTACGTGAGATGTGTTGTAATACAATACGTACGTTATTTGTATCGGGAAGTAGTTTTTGAGTTGTGGTTTAAGAATAGGTACAGGCAGTTGGTGATGTACAGCCTAGTAGGCGTAGGGATAAAAGTTCAATCATTAGAATGTGTATGTGTATATTGATTTGAACCAGATACTGTAAGTATGCATACATAAGCTGTTCAGCGAAGAGAGTGTTGCGTATCCACGCCGGTGCGCACAAATATCTCTCGTTTCCCTGTATATGAAGCATTCCTCCATTGAAGCACTGTAATATATATATATATGTATATATATATATATATATATATATATATATACACCTACTACTACCTACCCTAAACTTAAACTACTACTACTACACAACTAC